TGTTCAGGTGTATATCAGTATGTAGTGTCTCTACTTTAAAGAGTCCTCTCCTGCTGATGTTCAGGTGTATATCAGTATTTAGTGTCTCTACTTTAAAGAGTCCTCTCCTGCTGATGTGCAGGTGTATATCAGTATGTAGTGTCTCTACTTTAAAGAGTCCTCTCCTGCTGATGTTCAGGTGTATATCAGTATGTATTGTCTCTACTTTAAAGAGTCCTCTGCTGCTGATGTTCAGGTGTATATCAGTATTTAGTGTCTCTACTTTAAAGAGTCCTATCCTGCTGATGTTCAGGTGTATATCAGTATGTAGTGTCTCTACTTTAAAGAGTCCTCTCCTGCTGATGTTCAGGTGTATATCAGTATGTAGTGTCTGTACTTTAAAGAGTCCTCTCCTGCTGATGTTCAGGTGTATATCAGTATGTAGTGTCTCTACTTTAAAGAGTCCTCTGCTGCTGATGTTCAGGTGTATATCAGTATTTAGTGTCTCTACTTTAAAGAGTCCTATCCTGCTGATGTTCAGGTGTATATCAGTATGTAGTGTCTCTACTTTAAAGAGTCCTATCCTGCTGATGTTCAGGTGTATATCAGTATGTAGTGTCTCTACTTTAAAGAGTCCTCTCCTGCTGATGTTCAGGTGTATATCAGTATGTAGTGTCTCTACTTTAAAGAGTCCTCTCCTGCTGATGTTCAGGTGTATATCAGTATGTAGTGTCTCTACTTTAAAGAGTCCTCTCCTGCTGATGTTCAGGTGTATATCAGTATGTAGTGTATCTACTTTAAAGAGTCCTCTCCTGCTGATGTTCAGGTGTATATCAGTATTTAGTGTCTCTACTTTAAAGAGTCCTCTCCTGCTGATGTTCAGGTGTATATCAGTATGTAGTGTCTCCACTTTAAAGAGTCCTCTCCTGCTGATGTTCAGGTGTATATCAGTATGTAGTGTCTCTACTTTAAAGAGTCCTCTCCTGCTGATGTTCAGGTGTATATCAGTATGTAGTGTCTCTACTTTAAAGAGTCCTCTCCTGCTGATGTTCAGGTGTATATCAGTATGTAGTGTCTCTACTTTAAAGAGTCCTCTCCTGCTGATGTTCAGGTGTATATCAGTATTTAGTGTCTCTACTTTAAAGAGTCCTCTCCTGCTGATGTTCAGGTGTATATCAGTATGTAGTGTCTCTACTTTAAAGAGTCCTCTCCTGCTGATGTTCAGGTGTATATCAGTATGTAGTGTCTCTACTGGGACATGTCTCCATGCTTTAATGTTCAAAAAGCTCTTTATTTTTCTCATACTGCCTGTGCTGCAGCAGCTCTTTTCACCCTCTGTCTGAAACCAGAGCCCAGTCTGCTCTGATTGGTTAGCTGGCCGGCTCTGTTGTGATTGGTCAACCGCTTAGAGATGTCCCGCCCCTTAGCCTATCACGTACAATGTGTTGGAGCGCTAGCCAATAGAAGCACGAGTGTTACAGTAGGGAGGTAACTTTGGGATGTTAGCCTTTGCAGACCATTTACATGCACTAAAAACCTATATAACAAACTACAGGAAAGGGAAAATAACCCATAAAAGAATAATAGGGCCTCTTTAATTCTAGAAAGGATTCTTAGGAAACATCCAAACCTGGATTAGTGTCAGTTCAGGTCACGCTGTGGCTCTCGCTCTACTGAGAAACTGTGAGACGATCAAAGAAATCTGAGCCGATCTGTGGGACGATGTGAGTGAGGGTGAGAAGTTGGCAGCTATCACAGAGGAATCTGTCCGAGTGAATCTCTCACGCAGCGCCTCACATCATGAGCAAGGCAGGGGGGCACCTTAAGGATAAATACCTGAGTTGGCTCCATTGGGACAGCACAAAAACACAGATCTGTGATACTTCTTATCATGGATTGGAGATGTTGTTTTCAAGAAGTAAAATGACTTATTTTGTTCGGTCAATGTCAGATTTGTAAACCATGATGTCTTATTATACATGTACTGTACTAAACACTCAGTATAAAACAAACAAAATTGAATACAAATGTAAAATATTTTGTAAGAAATGCCCAGTCTAAACAAAAAAACAAGAGAAAAATGTGGTTTATTTAAATACATATTGACACCTTGAGGTTACTGAACTGTATATCCACATCTTAACAGAGATGGTTGATAAAATGCCATTTACATCTAAAAAATTAAACATATTATTATCAGCTATATTTGTTAAACACATTTTTAAACAAGGACATACAGATATGTACATATTTCTTATAGTTTTTCATATTTTGATTGGGATTTTTCTATATTAGATGTATGCGCTTGACCTGTTTTTATGTATGTATTGTAACACTTGTCACAAATGCAATTCCTTGTAAGTACAACAGCTTGGCAATAAACCTTATTCCAATTGTGTCAATACAAACACTTGCATAATAAAGGTTTTTAAGTAACAATAATAGGATTTCCCATGCCCAACATGCCTCTACATCTTCAGCAAGGGCAGTTTTCTGTTTATTTAGATGAGTTTGGGATACATTTTGCAACAGCAAGAAGACAGAAAACAAACACTACATATTTACATTCTTCATGGAGTCTCTGTGTTTGTTTCTCTTTCAGCTTCTTTTCAGGACAGACATCCACTGAACTGTCGACATTACATTAAGTGCTACTCAACTGGCTTTAGATAAACCAGTCCTTTATTAGTATATAAGTGCTTTGTTAGAAATTCTTTGTTAGTAATTCTATCGCTCGACAACCTGGAGAGTAATGGATTACATGTAACGGGATTATCAGGATACAAATGAAAAGGTAACCCTTACAGTTATCAGATTACTGGCAGGATTACAATGTAGGAACACGTTTTAAAGTAAATATAGATATGTTATAGGTAGACGTACTGCATTAATTGTTTATTTTATGGATGCGGACACCTGATTTATTACTGTGTGTGTTTCCTTTTAATTCAAACTAAACCAGCATTTGTGGAGAAATGTTTGATCCTAAATATCTTGGTTTCTTCTTTTCTGAGGTCACATTGTTCTGTTGTCTTACATACAAATACACTTAAATAAAAACATCTTATTGATATTTCTGTTCTCTTGTGTTTAATGGCACTGCATTTGATATTGAGGTGATCCAAAAGTAGCGGAAAGTAATCATGTTACATTACTTTTATATATATGAATAAATATATATTTTATGTGTGTGTGTGTGTGTGTGTGTGTGTGTGTGTGTGTGTGTGTGTGTGTGTGTGTGTGTGTGTGTGTGTGTGTGTGTGTGTGTGTGTGTGTGTGTGTGTGACCTAAATCTGTTTACACAGTCACGTAATGGAGGTCACCATGAGGGGAATCATTAATTTTAGGGTGAAGACTTGGTTAGGGTGAGGGTGAGGGTAAGGGTAAGGGTAAGGGTAAGGGTGAGGGTAAGGGTAAGGGTAAGGGTTAGGGTTAGGGTTAGGCATGTGTTGGTTATGGTTAAGGTTAGGATAAGTCTCCAGGAAATGCATGTAAGTCAATGTAATGTCCCCTGAAGTGATGTATACATGGTATGTGTGTGTGTGTGTGTGTGTGTGTGTGTATATGTGTGTGTGTATTTGCAAAGGCACAAAAGAGCTCTTTGTCATGCCACGGCACAACAGGTGAATGACAGATTCACCTGTCCAACTGTGGGACAGATTCACCTGTCCAACTGTGGGACTGCCGAGTTGGGATTAAAGTGTGTGTGTGTGTGTGTGTGTGTGTGTGTGTGTGTGTGTGTGTGTGTGTGTGTGTGTGTGTGTGTGTGTGTGTGTGTGTGTGTCTCTGCTGCATCAATCAATTGATTTGTAAAGGAGGCAGGGAGGTTGGACTCTAATGAGACAAAATGAAGCTGCATAGAATTCATCTGACTCACCGAACGCTTCTTCGTGTTCAGATCTGTTGTAACAAGTTTTTTTACACACAAACGTGACAGAGACTTGCAAACTACTTCTAAACTGTGTAAATGTATTTACTTCTACCTGAGGAAACATAACAGTGTTTGACCTACCACGTCAGGTGACAGTAAACTGTGAGAAGGAAGTATATTAACAATGCTGCTCGATATGGGACTGCAGTAGGTGTGACTTTACAAAACGTCGTTGGGATTCTGCGAATATTCCTGCGTTTCCTTCTATCTTACTGACACACTGGGCTGAGGGCTGTGATAAGAGATAAGAGAAGGCTTGCCTACGGAAGTCAAACTACTGACGAAATTCATGAAAAGTGGAAAGTGCATGGGGGACTTTGATAGTGAAAAACACTTTATGCTGAATAATAATAAGAAATATAATTACAATAACCTTAGCATCCTGAGCTAGTAGCCATTATCCTGCAGGGACTTTACAATGACCTTTCGTGTTTTTTATGGTATTTTACAGACAATTTTCTTTATTGTAATATTTATTTTTATTTTTTTAATTATTCTATTTTTACATTTTTGTGTTTTTAATATTTTTTTGGTTTGATTCTTTATATCTTATTTTTCAATATATTCTATTATTATTATCATCATCATCATCATTATTATTATTATTATTATTATTATTATCATTATTATTATCATTATTATTATTATTATTATTATTATTATTATTATTATTATTATTATTATTATTATTATTGTATTATTTTATTTTGCTAATGAGACGTATAATATATTGCTGCTTTGAATAGAATACACTTTATTGTCCGGCCGAGGCAGAACAATTATCGTTATAGTAGTGCTTAATATTGACTTTACTTCATAATCTGTATATTTCTCTTTATTTCTCAACACTTATTAGTCGTAAACTTTACTTAATGCCCAGTATAAGCAGCTTTTACAACACCAGGTATTTGTTCTGCTTTATGTCTCTTAATAGCATCTATCAAAAGTACATTAAAGGAACTCCATCTTAGAGCCCTTATTTTCTGGAATGCATGTTCTGAGCAGTGCAGATATGATGTTGAGCAGTGAACACCTTGCCTGTTGAACTCCTCCCACTCACTATTTAAACCCACAATGTCAGCACGCGCGCAGATTCAGTCTGCAGAACTTGATCTTGACCAACACGCGTGGAAAACATTGGAAATAAACCCAATATCTGAAATACAACTACCAACAAGGTAAGACCTCTCTTTATTTAGTTATGTGAAGGTTTATTCATTCATTACAAAAGTATTAGCATAATGGATTTTTAACATTTTCATAAGAATGTATTTAACGGGGGGTTATAACAAATATATAATTCACTTTTCATGGTGTGTTTTAAAATGCAATATCCATTCATTTCTGCTATATTCAACATGTTAATTGACTTTTCATTATAACTTCTGCTTTTTCCAAAGGTTTCATCTAATATCCTGACACATTTGGATATCTGAGACACACTCTTGGGAACATATTTCTTTTTCTGCCCTACTTTTTCCCCTGTTTTGGGATTAAACCTCACTCAGTGCCTGTAGTCGCCCCCTCCTCCAGAGAGGGAGTAACTGCTCCACTTTCGGCCGGAGATGCAGCCCCTTATCCGGCTTGCTGTGTATTGCATCAGCCTGCTTTCCCTCCAACAGCTGCTGGCTCTATCGGCGGAAGAAAGTCCCGACAGCAACAGGTAGGAAGATCCATGATAAACGCACCTGGAGCCGCATTACTCCATTAATGTACATATTATCGCTCCATGCGCAATTAGAAGCCACTACTTTGCCACTTTGACCGGCTTTTTTGGCGTTCAATGTGCAGAGTTATTCCCATTTGTAAATTTAAATTAGCTTCAAAGGCGGTTTAAGGTTTCGCATTTAAGCCAATAGATCATTTTTCATTAGTTTTAAACATGACTCATCATTCCTAAATCTCACCTTTCCGTATTTTAATGTATTTTTGTTCATTTTATTCAGAAAGTTAACGCATTTAAACTGACAGGTAGGAGGAGGACACCCCGCTGTATTCATGCTCTTCATGTATAAACGCACCTGGAGCCGCATTACTCCATTAATTACGACATATTATCGCTCCATCCGCAATTAAAAGGCACTACTTTGCCATTTTTACCAGCTTTTTTTGGCGTTTAAAGCGCAGGGTTATTTCAATTGTTCAGTAGTCATTGTGCAGATCATTTCAGAATAATATATATGATATGTTTTATAATGATTGATCAGCTTGTGAATTTACTCCAGGTGGAACTAAAGACTGATGTAAGAGTTGATTATATTTCACACCATTAATCCAGATCTGTAAAGTAACTAAAGGTATTAAATACATGTAGTGGAGTAGAAGTACAAAGTATCATAACATGGAAATACTTAAGTAGCATTTAAGTACCTCAAAATGTAAGTATCATCTATCTAAGTTACTTTATGCGATTGCGTATTCAATTATGTTTTTTTTTAATGACATTAGGCTTTAATGTGTACATATGCCACGTCATTAAGCTACAAAGTTTTTGTAATTCAAGCCAACAGATAATTTTTCATCCGTTTAAAACATGACTGCATTTCTAAATCTTTTTTTCTTATCTGTTTTAATATTTTTGTTAACTTGATCTATTAAGTCAACGTAGCTACTGTAAAGGCAGAGTTGAGCTGGTATAATGAAATCAAAGCAGGCTACGCAGTGTGTAAAAGTGAAAGTGCTGTTGTGTCGGGCAGATAATGGATACAACTGCAAGGTCAAAGGCTCTCATGATACAGTAAAAAAAAAAAATCTCCCTCCTTGATAAACTCTGTTGGATCAGCTGTACTGCGTGACAGTATCAGGCATATTCAAATAAACCAAAGACATCTATTTTATTCTATACAATATATCTTGTTTTCAGTTTCCTATAGTGCTTGTAACAGTTTACAGTGACCTCGCTGTGTTTATCGTTTCCAATCGGCCTCCACTTTTCACATTAGTCGAGCACAAATTAGGTTAAAGTTGAGAGCAAGTGATCATGAGGTTGTGCAAGATTAAATCTATTTTACATTCTACATTTAACAGAAGTAAATGTGAGCCATATTTGACAACAAAGGTCATTCATAAGCATCACTTTCGATCCTATCAACGATCACATGAGTTTATAAAGGGGTTTGTTTGGGTTCATCTCCCTGTGATTCTGTTTTATTATTTCCAAAGTGGGACAACCTGTTTCTCCCGCAATTAGGCTGTAAATCCCAGCATTGTGAGGAGGACCTTTGTAAAGGATCCCGTGACTTTCACCTGTACTTTTCCACTCGTTAAGTGGCGGTCTGACACACGCAGTACAGTCTACCTGGTTTAATGAGTGAGGAAAGCCACGATGCAACACGCCTGAGTATTTTTGCTTTGATTTATGTGGAAGAGCTGGTGTTTGAATGCCCTCTTCTGGTGGAGTTTGGATCTACAGATGCTTGTGTTTGCACGAGGAAGAAATGAGGGCCAAGTTATGGGGGTCCTAAAGAAAAAGGCAAGGAGGCCCCTGAAAACTACCCTGGTCATTTTTTACAAGCAGTAAAGAAATGCCTTATATTAGGACTGCAAAGCGATTATTTTCATTATTTATTTTCTATATTAGTTTATACAGTTTAAAACAATAGAGAGTCCAAGTTGATGTCTTTACACGTCTTGTTTTGTCAGTCCAGAAAAGGCATGACATCTCCATATCTATCATCAAAATAGTTGCCGATCAATGTTCTATCCAACGACTTGTCAATGCAGCTCTAGCTGACCAATCAGGAATGATGCAGCAGTGCTACTACTGCTATTATTTGAAGACAGCTGCGATATTTTCAGTGTTTTTTTATTAGATTATGTCGGGTATTTTCCATCGACAGTTAGTGTAGAGAGAGACACAAGGAACAAAGATCCCCAGCTGTAGTTTTGTAGTATGGACTTTTACCATGAGACTAGCAGAGCGCTGATGTGGTGGTGCTGGTTAAATCAGTTACAAAGGTAATTGATATGATCCAACAGTTGTGAAGAAAAGCTTTTAAAGAAAGTACTGGACTTGTTATACTGATTATATAACAGTGTAAGAAGATCTCGGTGTGATATTTTCCTTCAGGTCGCCATCTGTTGCTCTTGTTTGTGTTATTGAATACTTGCTGCTGAATCTCACCGAGATAAAGGGAAGTGTATCCGCTGGTTGTGTTGCTCTGTCCTCCACTTCAGTTCTGTCTGAATCTGTCATTACCGGCATGGGTCATCATGACTGAGGTTTTATATCTCTCAGTCTGGGAGAAAATGTTCAGAAGTTGTATGTAATATAAATAGATTGCTTCATATCTCAACAGGACATTAAGTAACGTCCTAGTAAAAACTAAAAAGATGCATCACATGGACTTAAAGCAGCCTCAGGATGCTTAAAGGTGGGGTAGGTAAGTTTGAGAAACCGGCTCGAGATACACTTTTTGTTATATTCCATGGAATGCTCTTAACATCCCGATAGCAATGAATATCTGAAGTGCTTTGACAAAAAATCCATACAAAAATGTCATCTGTGGAAGCCGTACTGTAAAAAGCACGACCAATCATCTGAGCCGGCCCGGCTAAAATAACTGGATGGCCTACCTGCCTGTCAGCCTTCCATCTGTGCACAGACTTATCTCGTGCCCTCATTGGTCATGTGCGCGTTCGTGTGCGTTGGAGGAGGGGCTCTGTAAGGAAGTGGCAGATTTTTTCCGGCTGTGTATTTTCAAATCCTAGCGCACTCGAGCTGGTTTCTCCAAAATTACCTACCCCACCTTTAAAGCTTATCTAAACCTTGACAAAGCAGCAACAAATCACCAATACAGCAACAAGATCAATCACTGGCTTCACAATGGTGGTCTATGGAGCACCAATCAAGGTCCAAATCAATGCAATGTTAGTCCTTCCTTTTGATCAGACTTCATGTAGATCGATAATTCCCATTCGGACTTAAAATAATGTGCCTGAAGCTGACTGCCAATCCCCGTGTTGTTGAGCATGGTGTCATTCTTAAAAGGCCTTCACATTGCCACAGTATATACAAATATATTTCCCTCAAACACCAATGTGAGAGGTTTCCATCCTTCCGTAAATTCTCCCGCTTCACTAGCATCCACATATCTCTCTCCTTGTTTATTGTTTTTCCATAAATGTCTTGTGTGGATTTTATGAGGACAGTACATTCCATCGACTAACAGCACATCCTGTTCTGTTCCAAAAAACATGTCGACAGCATGATAATAACAAAACATACTTAAAATGTCTTCCTCCTGCTGGACACGGACAATGTCTGAGCTCAGATGTCTTTCATACTTTCCCTGTTTTGTCTTTGAGGCCATGCGATGCCTTTGTGTCCCGATAAGGACACGACAAAATCCCATCAAGATGCTGCGACAACGCGCTGTCCAAACAAGGAGAAATCGCACGTTCCTTGGATCACACGCAACACATACCCTTCATTGTCACTTTATGTGGGGCATTCTTTTGTCAGGGAACATTTCTGCAGCATAACGAGACTCCATAAGTGGAAAGGCCGCTCATTGCGTCCAGACTTAAAGATTGGTTTGGAACTGGGCACGATACATGACTGTTAAAGCAAAAAAAAAGCCATGTCTATCCTCCAAACAATTCGATAAATCTTTATACTTGGTTTTGCAAAACGTAGGGTTCAACGTAGATACTCTTCACATAATATTTACCTGAAAAACAGACTGAATTCAACAAGCTGACTTCCTGCCAGATGGCTTTTTGGTCCATCCTCTTAATCTCTATTCTGACATGTTGACACCTTATCAAGGAACAACAAGAACATCACTATCGCTTTATTGTGAGTTCAGTCTCAGAGAAATATGCTTGCAGAATGATTGAAACCAGCACTAGCTCTGCTGACAATCAGAGGCCTCTTCTTGCATGTCTTGCAAAACAGGACTTTTGGCTTGGAAATATATGTGCGGTATAAACAGTTGTGTGGCTTCATGGAGGTAAATCCGACCGAACACACGCTGAGGTTGAGGAGAGTGAAAGCCGGCAAAGAATTCCACCGTGGATTAAGAGCTAAATCCCACCTTTAAAGAGCTGTTTCCTTCACATGGAAAGACACACCATTGTGGAGGCATGCACATGTATATTATACAAGCTTATAGTGGGATTGTGCATCAAAAAATTCAAGAAGCAAATGGGGCTTCTGAGAAAAGAGGAACCATGCTGTTTGATGATTATACTGTCCACTGATATCAGAGCAGACATATCATTTTTTTTATAACCCGGCATCTGGGTCTTTTACTGGCTTTACGAACTATTCAATGTCCGGTTTGGCTTGCATTAAGTTAATCACATACAAGTTAAGATGTTATGAAAGCAGGACTGCTGCCAAACAAGTAAGAAAAGTGTTTTGTTTGTAATAAACACCAACAACAATCCCACTATTGTTTCCTGTTTAGAGATTACTAATGAATGTACCATATGTACTGCTGATTAAGCTCAGCCTCTACGGTTAGGGTTCAGAAGGTCTTTTCCCAATGGTTGTTGTTATTGGACGGTAGAATCACTTTGGAAACAATAAACCTTTTTAACATTGGGATTAGGAGGCTGTTCCTGAAATTTGAGGAAATTCACGTGATGTCATGCCCACTCCAAATCGATGTCTGGCCATCCCACCTTTGCAACTCGTTGTCATTCCTAACGCTTCACATACGAACACTTTGTCAGGACTCTTTGGCTTTACCCTAACCCTAACCCTAACCCTAACCCTACCCTTACAATAACACTTGGTCAGGTTCAGGATAGAAATGTTGGTTGGGGAACAGTCCTGTGTTGGTTTGACCCATTCCTTCTTAGACTATTGACTATCAGCACTTGCTCCTAGCGCCTACGAAACGTTGCTATTTGATGATAGGCTGCCTTCAAGAAGTGCCACAAGAAACAGTTTTGACATGTCCGACAGAGGCTTGTAACACGTCGTAACAAACCATTAATTTCCAGCGAAACCCATTCTTAAGGTTTAGGGAGAGTCCACCCTCTGAAAGGAAGGGCATGCCAGTTGATGCTAGCAACGCTTTAAGGTAAAACAGAAAGAAAAAAAAAACAAGGCAGCACACTGGGATCGGTTTGGCCTAATATCAAATTGCACAATTATTAGCAATCATCTGGAGTAGAAAAGTAAGCTTCTGTTTGAAGCCCTTAAGCTAAGACCATGCAAGTCATGGAGATAACTACAGCTGGTTGAACAACTAACGACAAAGCAGCTTGAATATCTTTGGTTGTCTGCCACTGCTTATGGAGATGTGGGACTTGGCTACTTAAAGCCAAATGAACTCGTCTTGTGAGATGAAATGTGACAGCGTGAAAGAGTTCTCTACTGCAAGAGTTTCTGAAAGAAAAGAGTAGAGTCTAGAGTCTTTGAGAGGATCAAACTGGAGCTTGCCATTTCGTTAGACAAACTACATGCAGGAGTTAACATGAAATATGAAACTAAAAGAGAATTAGAGTTAAGAAATGGTAGGGTAGTACTTTTAGCAGATACTCTAGAGGTGAAGAACCCATGGTTGTCATTGATAGCCAAGGGATAGTTTTTCTAATGTCTGTTTTTTACAGTGTTTACTGCCAAAGCTGGATTGCCAATTGATCCAAACTCTCATAATCTGTGGGGCCCGAAGGCTCCATGTTTAGTGTGTGTTCATTTATTTCATTTCACAAATGATTAAGGGAAGGCAAGGCAAGTTTATTTATATAGCACCTCTCAACACAAGGCAATTCAAAGTGCTTTACAAAACTGATATGGCTTTACAAAACTGATATGTACCACCTGAGCACTATGTACCATTACCTGAGCACTTTATAAACCAGAGGTGGAAGAAGTAGTCAGGTCCTTTTCTGTTTTGGTGGGATTTTGTGCACGTAAACCAGTGCTCTCTTGTGAAAATAACTTTCCTGTACAGTCAAATACGACTCTCTCTCTGCAGATGGGTGTAACTTGGTGATGTGGCATTATGGCACACCAAGTCTGCCCCTGAAATAGTGCTCGCCTCCGTCTGTGGCATTACGCAACTATTTATTCAGCCACTGACAGTGTTGCACAGCCGGTCCTCTCCAGACTTAATGCTGTTAGCTTCACATTTCACACAGGCATCCCAAAGCAACCACAGCACTGAGAAATAAACCTCCAACCAGAAAGGATGAGTTCATGGTGAAATAATAAACAGTCAGCACTTCACACAGACTTTTTACAATTAGATTCTGCTTCTGGAAAATATTGAGAAACTTGATGCAGTTATTTTCCTTTCAAAGCAACAGCAGATATTTTTGCTAATATGCAACATGTTCATCCTATTTATCTGCTGGCTATCCCTTTGCTTTACCCAGACTTTCAGCAGAGGTAACCGACCTGAGTCACGCTGTTCTGTACAAACACAGCGGGGACAGTTCAGGGAAGAAGCTGCAGGGTCAAGTTGCCAGAAGTCTTGGTCAAACAATGAACAGATGGCCAGTTGGTCGTGGCTGCTGAACGGTGGCGCTGAAAAAAGTGACATTTGAACATATCATTAGCATCTTGTCTTTCTGGAAATTACATCCTGTTTGCTCTGGACCACGCACACAAATCCCTGTCAACAGCTTGAGTTGCACTGAAAAAACTGCAACGTTGACTTTAATTTAATGTATTATGTCAACAGATTTCACATAACTTTATTAGGTTAGTTGAAAGCAACAATATACAGTTTTTAAATAACAACTATTAGGTTTAACTTATTGCTTAACCTAATACAGTTGTGTGAAATCTAGGTCAAAGTCAACGGTTCAGTTTTTTCAATGTGGAATTACTTTCTACTTACAAAAATGTGTACAAAGACAACACATACAACATTATTTTTAAATTGCAGCCAATGAATAGGTCTTGGTGGTAGTAGCAGTTTCCATAGATTCTCAAAACTACTACCACTACTACTACTAGGAGTTATAAGGAAAATATGTATTTTGCAATTTGGATAAAGTGAGCCGTTAAAGAGTGAAAATGTGTGGCTGCTGTGCAGAGATCAGTCAGTCCAGTTAAGTTTCTCTTATGTATTGTTAGCCCCACTGAGCCTCGGCTGGTTTAATCTCCCATAGCGACCGTTTTCTGGATCCCAGCTGGGCATTAAAATGCAACGAGGTGCTGGTTTTGTATAATGTAATAAGCGAGGCACACTCAGAGCTGCCTCTGTGGTTTTTCGCAACATGTGAAAAACCATTAACTCTTTGGTTGTCCATTAGGAGATGACATGGTGTTCATGGGCCCCTCTGTGTTCAGACAGCATGCAATCATGATTTGTTTATCAAAGCTGCTTTGTACGGCTAATCGGATTTCTGCAGAATTACCTGTGTCCCTAAAACATTAGTTGTTATAGTAACAATGATGGCAGGTGCATGCATGACCGTCCTCAGTCTATCACTCTGCTATGCATTGGTGAAGCGTGACGGTAAAATACAGGCTTATTCAAAGTTTTGTTGAACTGAATAGCTAAGATTGGGAATGTTGGTTTCTCAAGAACGTGGTATTTCCTGTCATATTAGAACAGTAGTCATAGAATGTTGAAAAATGTTGAACTTGTAGAACGTAGAACAAAATGTTGAACTTGTGTTAACCACAGACCAAAGCATTGTCTCCAGGCAACAGCTTTCTCCTCCATTTTGCAATTTTACGATATGAATGAAAGACTCACACGGCTTTCTTTTATTTCTCCTCAGGTTGGACATCATCAACAAGCTCATGGGTCTTACAGAGGACAACACTAGACCTTCAAGAAGCCCGACTCACAACAACGTCCCTTCTTCAGCCCTGAAACAAGCCCCAAAATGGCTGCCTGGTTTCCTGAGACTCCGACCAGCTTCTGGAGTTCGCACATCCCCACGAAGTCTGGCATGGGCTCGACCCAGCAATGATTCTCCGAGGTCTTCGAGAGTTCGTCGTCACGCTCATTCGGGACCGCGGAGTAGTCGCCATTACCCGCAAAACGCCCAGCTGATGAGAGTCGGTTGCGTCCTGGGAACCTGTCAAGTGCAAAACCTCAGCCATCGGCTCTATCAGCTGATTGGTCAGAGCGGCAGAGAAGACTCCTCCCCCATCAACCCCAGGAGCCCCCATAGTTACGGATGAGAAAGTAAACACCCCCGAAAAACACCCACAGCAAGTCTAACACTGAAAAAACGGAACTGTTGACTTTCACATGACTGTATTGGGTTGGTTGAAAGCAATAATATTAAGTTCAAATATTAGGTTCAACTTAATATTATGGCTTTCAACTAACCTAATGACATAATACATTTAATTAAAGTCAACGTTTCAGTTCTTTCAGTGTATCCAGATCTCCATTTATTTATCTTTTAATGTATTATTGGTAGAATTTGCATTAGTTTTCGATGTAGTCCTTGTTTATTTATCTGAATATGATAGTTATACTCCTATTTTTTGCCTCCCTAGTTTGAATTCAATATCATCACCGCCAATGTGAGTTCTCCCACTAGTGCTGCAGATAGCTGTAAAAATCTTTCAAAAAGTGGATACAAGCACCAAAATTGGGCCATTTATATAAAAAAGCCACAAAATTGCGACATTTTACCCAAGATGGCCGTCATTTCCAGCCGATACAATTTTTATTTTACACCAGAATTTTAACAACTGGACCAATTTCTGTGATTTCAGTATGAATTATTTGTTTTGGACTATGGGAAAGTCAAATTTAGAAACTTCTACCGAGCTTCTTCATGGCATTTTAAAATGAAAATGGCAGCCATCTTGGATTTTTGACAGGCTTTTTTAAAAGAGAAACCCTCAAAGGAGTTTATTTGCCAATTTTAGTACTCCACTTTTGAAAGATTTCCCTAGTATATTCAATATCCTGCAGCACTAACCAACCAGAGACTGATTGCTTTTTGAAGGATGTTCAAGTCTTTGTTTTCCACCATGAGCACTCAGTCTTTATTCTGATAATATAAGTATTAAGGCTTGTCCTCAACACCATCCTTAGATCTGCTCCTGCCTGAACTCTGACCCCTCCAACAGTTCATTGAACACTTATAAGCCCCTGGTGTGGATTTCAAGCTGCTGGAGCCATGTCAAAACCAATGTATTCCCAAAGACCCCGTAAACACCCCGATGAACCCTTTTTTTGTGCGCCTCAACGTTGCGGCTCCCAGGTCGTTAACAACTGAACACGGACATCCCTTAAATATTCCACTATAGCTTTGTGTTTCGGGACCACAGTTTACTTTTGAAACAAACCACAGCACTTTGGTTACACCGGAGCATTCGGAGGACTTAAAGTCTACGCTGGCAATGAAAATGTAAAAGAAGAGGGGCAGCAGCCTTGAGAAGGAGTCATAGAAAACCCAAAAGGATCCGTTTCAGTGTTGCTCTGTAGTAGCCTGTTGGAGGGGCCAAAGATCAAGGCTTTTTCTCCGCAGGAGGCCAGATACTTGCCTTTTCACGTGATTCATACGTTTTCCTTGCAAGTCAAGACTTTGGGTTGACAGCAGTTTAATATCCCTTTAGGAGGGGGGTCCTCAGCATTGACGTTTACAATAATTAAATGGTTGGCTCACCTAAAATACACTTCTGGTATTATTATCCCCTTACTTTGCATGATGTTTTGTGGGATTTAACATGGATTCTTATTATAGAAACTATTTTCAATGCCCCTTTTCTAGTGCTAGACAACATACCTTCATTGTTTTGCGTTAGAAAAGTCCAGCAGTAATGGTGCAGAAGAATGTAGAAATGAAGGACAACCGTTCCTCATATTTCCTTATAGACAACACAATTCTGTAATGATGTGCACTCTTATTGTTAAATGGGTTTAAAGTAGTCGTGAAATGCCCACTAACGACTGTTTTTGTTATGGCATGAGTCCATAGTGACAAAAATGCTAGGTGTAGGTACTCAAAATAGCAAAGCACCGTCAAAAATACATTCCCAGACATTCCCGACTTTCTATGTTTGTCTGTGTCTGAAATAGTGGGCGTGCGACGGACTGAAAATAACTCAAGCTCTCAAATTTGACAGTCCTTAAAGAAATCTACTTTTTGGGCAAGGAACACAATTATGTTACATATTATTTGCCAACTTCAATTTCAATTATTTACTTTATGTTGGCCTCATTTTAACTTATACAGAAGGAATACATGAGCTGTTTTATGTGCACTTTTATCTGTATTTTTGTATTTTTGCGTATAACTTGACAAAGTATGGTATTCCTAAGAGGCATTAGTTTGAACTCACCAAATACCTGGCAATACTTGACAAATCTAATGACTTTACATGTGATCTACATCTTATTATAATGTTCATAACTTAATCTGTGTCTTCTCATATTGCTTTTGTCTTTGGCTTATTTTTGGTTTGTTTTACATTTAGTCTCTCAGCTCTTTCCTGGCTCTCCCTTTTCCTTTCTCTCTATAATCACGGAGGTCAGAGGTTAAAATCCTTGGTCTTAAATCGAATCTGTTCAAAGGCTTGCTGAAGTCAAACATGCCACTCTCTCTGCTGTAATGGAGCTATTTAATGTCTCATGACGGATCATTAAAAGGCTTTTCAAACGCTAAAAAATCCTGGTGGATCACTTTTTTTTTATCCTCCTCACTTTTTAAACATGATTTCAAACACATTTAAGTGCGTATGTGCTTAGCCTATCAGGACACTTATCTCCTGTGTTTGATCTGTGCTCTTTTTTTTTTCTGGCGCAGTTTGTTTTTGTGATGTCAAAAGTTGCGTCATGTCCAAGTTGTGTGAGCAAACTGTGCACGACCGCTAATACCTCCCCGTAAAAAAACACCTACAGCTGTCATGTTGCGAAGGAATGAGTGATTAGAAGTGTAAAATGTGTGTTAGTTTTGTAAGTTAGCGTAGATTCAGGGTCACAGGAAAGCACTTTAACGCAAACAGCTGTCACTATAGTTTCTCACAACTTAATGTTACTTGTTTTTAAACGTGTGAACGCTAGGGTTCCTTTATGTTAATGTTGCATTTGAGATGTTTGAAGACGTCAGCGATGACTGTGAACGCTGTGTGCATCAGCCAAACTATTTAAATATGTATTTAAATTATCTTTGTATGTTAATATCTGTATGTCACCAAAGACTATTTATCTCACCTTTTCCACAGTTCCTTCAACGTGACCTTGTGGTAGGAAACAAAGTCTAAACTGTAGTGAAAATGTTACTGTTTGTCAATGTTCTTCACTCTGTAAAAAAAATAAAGAATTATACTGTAATGTGA